AGGTCTCATTGATAGAGCTTTAAACTAGGTATGTCAGGGAAGGGGACAATGCCAGGCTTGCCCTTGACAAGCTGTGGGATGACATACCAAAGTTAAAGGGACAGGGTACAGGTGAGGGCCCTCAGCCAGAGGACCTGAGATGTGATGGCCACACTGGAGCACATCTGATGTCTTTTGGAGACAAGCCAGGGACTCCTGAGGTAACAGAAGCCAAGAAACACCAATGAAATATCTCAGTGAAATTAGAGGGTGTTTCTCCAAGAAGGCAACATGAGGTGACATCTCAGCTGAAGTGCCTTTGCACCAGTACACACTGTGTGGGCAACAAACAGGAGGAGGAGGAGGAAGCTGCTGTGCTGCTGTGAGGTTATAACCTCGTTGCCACTACTGAAACTTGGTGGGACAAATCCCATGACTGGATTGCACCTATGGATGGCTACAGGCTGTTCAAGAAAAGTAAGGGTGGAGGGGCTGCGCTCTGTATTGGGAGGTGGACTGAGCTGAAAGCCTGTGGGTAAGATCCAGAGACTGAGACAAGAAAGAGGACTTCATGGCTGCCCAGCCAAGGGGAGCCTGCTGACAAAGCCTTCTTGCTCCAGATGCAGGGAGCACTGTGCTTACAGGCTCTTGTCCAGACATGGGCCTTCAACACCACACAAGTGACACGGTGTGGGCAGTCCAGGAGACTCTAGTAGTGCTTGGAGGATAACTTCTGAAGCCAGGTTATAGACAGCCCTACCAGAGGGGACGTGATACAGGACCAACACAGGTTAATTTGGGCCATCAAGATTGGAGGCAGCCTGGGCTGCAATGATCATGCACTGGTGAAGTTTGCAGTCCTGAGGGATCAGGCAAAGAGAAAAGTCAGAATCATGAATTTTAGGAAAGCAGAATTCCAGGTCATCAAAGATGTAGTCAATAGGACCTCCTGGGAAACTGCTGTGTGGGACAAGGGAACAAAAGAAGTTTGGTGGATCTTTAAGGATGCTTTTTGTAGAGCACAAGAACTAGCAAAAGGTGGAGAAGTTCAGACAAGGAAGGCAAAAGTCAGGCATGGTTAGTCAGGACCTGCTGGTCAAACTAAAGGGCAAGAAAGAAATCCACAGCCAGTGAAAGCAAGGGCAAGTATCCAGGGAAGATTATCGGGTGACAGCGCAGTTGTGTAGGAATGGGGTGAGGAAGGCAAAGGCAAAGCTGGAGCTCAACTTCACAAAGGTCACAAAGAACAAAACTAAGAGCTTCTACAGGTGTGTCAGCCAGAAAAGGCCGGTCAAAGAAAGCATTTACTCCCTCGATAAGCAAGGCTGGCAGACTGGAAACTAGGATGGGGAGAAGGCTGAGGTGCTCAAAAATTTTTTCCTCAACCCTCACTGGCAGCCTCTCTTCCCCACGCCTCTAGAGTGAATGGACTGTAAAATGTGGCTGGGGGAGCCAAGGCCCTCAGAGACAATCAGGTTTGTGACCACCTGAGGAACCTGAGCATACATAAGTCTATGGGACCTGATGAGATGAATCCCAGAGTCCTGAAGGAATTGACTATATTGTTGCCAGGCCACTTTCTGTGATACTCAAGAAGTCATGTCAGTCAGAAAATGAAAGTGCAGCTTTCCTGTATTTGCACAGCCTCTTACACTGCTTAGGGCTGCATCTACCTCCTGATCAAGTAATTGCTGGAAATTGCATGCTTGTGTTTCTGTGTCATCAGGCTTTTCCTAGAGTTTTGTGACTACTCTCATGTGCCTTCCTGTGATTTTGAAGAGTAGCCCTCTCTTGGTACCTCCTGGATGATTGCTGTAAATTAAATGTCATGGGCTTTTTCAGGAGGATTGTGGCATGCTGCAAAATGAAGCTGCATGTTACATTTTTGAGAGGCTTCATAAAATTCTCCACAGACTAGAAAATAACCTTCTATTACTGCCACAAACAAGCGTAGAAAGTTGTCTGCTTCTTTACTCCAAGCAGCTCCCCCTTCTCCTTGCTTTGCTTTCACAATTGCTCTCTGTCTGTCTCTGAGGTCTGCATTGTGAGACCTTCCTTTCTGCATCAATGGCCTGTCATTGCTGGTACTCAAGTACAGTTTAGGGTAAAGGCCATTTAGTGAATGGCAGCATTCATTTGGAAGAAATTCAGCGTTGGCATTTTCTGTGCTTGGTACTGCCAAGTGCCACGCTCCCTGATCCTGATTAGCAAAGCATTTAAACTTACACATAAAGCTCTCTATGAGTGCTCACATTGATTTTAGTGGAGCCAATTACACATTTCAATTTTCAAAGGAACCTAAAATTATTAGGTTGGGAGTGAGAACGCTCTGTTTCTGGGGAGTTAATGAATATGTAAAATTAATCTTTTTAGAAAAAGCAACCAACCTCCACCCCCAGTTAAGAAAGGAGTTCATGATTTTTGCTCTTGTACCTGTGGTGAATCAAACCAAGTGGGAGCAAGTGCACAACACAGACAGCATAGTCAAATTTACACTGACATCATCATCCAGATTGGAAATTATAAGAGTTTTTCTTTTAAACCACTATTTTCATAGAAGAAACCTTAGTCTTCATATACTTAAGTTTTAAAACCTGGCAGCCATTTAAGCCTCATAGCTGGTAATTTAAGGCTTTCATGTGAATGTATTTTCCTATGTCAATGCTAATTTATTCCCCCCCCCAAAAAAAAAAGATTGCTATTATAAGAAGGATCTGTTTTCTGTGGGGTTTCTCTTGAAGTACAGACAAAAACAGGGCTGACTTCTAAACTGAAATTGCCAGGCATGGATTCTGAATTGTAGGTTTCTTTGTAAGTAAGATGATCCAAATTCAGGGTAGCCTAAGAACATAGATTCTTCATCTGAATAGGATATTATCAATTACATCAATTAAAACCAAATGTTCAAGAAGCATTTGACTTCTGATGGAGTCTTGATGATTTCCCTCTATCTTCCTGTGAAGAAACACGTGCACCTTGGGCAGGCATATTCCAGCAAACAAATGCTGTCTGTGCTGACTTGCGTGAGCTAACTGGATAAACGCATGAAAATGGATACTGTGGACTCCCATGATATTTAGTGGCAGATTAAGTATTTGGCATGCACATTAGGTGCCTATTTTAAAATATTTATTCCTGTGTTTATTTTTCTTTCAAATACTGCTGCATTAACAAGTTCCTTGTACTTAACCAGTGATTTTGTCTTTCCCCAGTAGACTAAAACCAGACAGCAAATACAAAGAGAAATTATGATAAGAAGCAAAAAAAAATTCCATTCCCTAAAAAGGGAAAGAGAATGCAGCTTTTCTGAATTTGCACAGCCCCTTACACTGCTTAGGGCTGCAGCTATCTCCTAGCAATCATTTATCCCACATCAGTTGAACAAAATGTGCAGTACAAACGGGTTGCTGGGCACTGTGTCTGCAGGTGAGAAAGGGAGCAGATGCAGGGGAATGCTGTAACATGCAGTTCCCAAAGAATCAGGTGTTGTCAGAGTGACTGTCTGCTCATGGCATCTTCCTGGGGGTCTATGGAAGAGGACTTTGGGAACCTCATAAAGCAGATCTTTACCTGTGCTTTGCCTTGAGGGTGTGGTGACCCTCCATGCAGATGATTTTTTTCCATTGGAGAGAATACTTCTGAAAAGGCAACAAGGGAGCTTCTGGGAAGCAACCCCAGGGTGTCTTGGTAGAGTGAGAGGGTTCAGGCAGGATTTGGGAGGGGATTTGTGTGCCTCAAAGGCAAGCAATTTATTTAACATCAGTGGGACTACTGACATTTCTGAGCTATCCAAGTATCTACGTATGCATGGAAACTGACAAGCTCTGTGGTCAAGTGAGATGAGATTAAAGAAGAAGTGTATGCTGTGGAAAGTATGATGTGCTGCTGGGTAAAGGGCTAATTTGACACAGGCTCTGACAGCACTTTTAACTCATGCTTGCAACTTAGGCAATGAGAATTAGTATCAGAAATGGGATTTGTCTAATATATATTGACACTAGGTTAGAAGGATTATTTTCCTGATAGTCTATGGGATAACATTTCAGACATGGGTGTCCTAGTTTGTCTTACTGTTTTGTTTTGTGGTGTGTTTTTGTTTTGTGATTTTTAAAGTTTATTTTTAAGTTTTCATTTTTTGTATCACTTTTTTTCTGGCACTGCATTGCAGGTTTCTGTGACTCCTGTAGTCCATTTTGCTTTTCTGATCCTGGTTTTGACATCTTAGTAGAGCCTCTAAGACCATCCTTATGCCTCACTATAATTTATTTACTGTTGCCTCACTTTTCTACAAGTTGTTTCTTTTGTACATTTTTGCCTTCTCATGTACTTCTGGCTTGTCATTGCATGCTTTCATTTTTATATGGAAGGCTGTTTTAGACCTTGCCCCAGAGAATAATTTTAAAATAATCTTGGCCTGCTCATATGTTTAAATGATGCTTTACATTTCACAATGTTTTGAATCAGCAGATTTGAACATGTTAATTTTACTACTTAGAACTGTATTTCTAGTTTTACTCTTTGGAACCAGAAGTGCTTTGGGAGTTTTTAGCTCCAGTGTCTGATTTTATGTGGTTTATTTTTAAACCTACATGAAAATAAAAAGTTTTGATCTATAAAATACTTGAATATTCCTGAAAAATATTTCTGTGTGTGCAAATTGTCTTGTCAATCAAATTGTCTATCTACAGCTATCAGTGGTTACTGAAGGTTCTGAAGGGTTCTACTTAATAATTTGCTTTACACTAAATATATATATATAAATAATATATAAAATAAAACATATTGTCCCAAAATTTCCAGTATTTAAATATTGTGTTTAAAAATGGTGGGAGACACATGAACTCACATTTGTGTGAGTATGGTAGGATATCAAAAGGTTAAGTGTCTTAGCAGATGAGTGGTGGTCTCAACTTCCTGACCTAGTCCCACAGCTACCATTCTTTCCTAAATAAGTATTTTTTTCCAGGGATGCAAAAACAAAGCTTGTGACATGTATTATTCTGGTGTGTGTCTGTCCCCAGGACATTACATTTCTGTGGACACATCCTACGAGGGTGAGAAAGCAGTGCTGTCCAGCCCTGATCTGTACTCCGAGGAATGGAGCTGTGTCAGACTGATCTATCAGATAGCAACAACTTCAGACACCTCACCTTATCCTGCCAGGCTCAACTTGTACCTGAGGCAGGAAGGAGAAAGTTTTGATCGTTTGCTGTGGTCAGCCAAGGAGCCATCAGACAGCTGGCTGATAGCTAGCTTAGATTTAACAAACAGCACAAAGAAGTATAAGGTAAGCTCAGTTTTAGAAGATGCCACAGCCGTGTGGAGCAGCTCACAGGGACACACGGCCAGCTGAGTCCTGCCGTGAGGATGCTTCATCTCCTGGTATCCCTGCGGAGCTGCTGGTGCCACGTGGCAGATACGGGAACTCCCAGGTCCTGGGTCTGCAGCTGCGCTCACTTATTCCTGCCCTCTCTGCCTTTCTGGAAGGAGTCCAGAAAGGAGGACAGAAGAGTGTTTCTACCCAGAAAACATCGTGTTGCATCACTCACAATAACATCTTGCAAAACCACAGCTGAGGAATATGGAGTTCCATACTCTTAAATGAAGTGTGGGAATTTTTTGCCTTGTCCCATTGTCCTTCAGCATGTCTTCTTTGGCTGAAGAGCACTGGCTCTATCTGTAATGCATTCTGCCAAGCTCTTTCAGCAAAAGTGCACCTGGCTGTAAGGATCATGGTTCCCCAAGAAACATTTAATTTGTTCTCCTGTTAATCCTGTTTAAATATGCAAGGTACTAATGAAATCCTAAAATTGACAGTTTGGCTTATATTGTGCAGCTTGTACTGGAAGGTGAAATGGGACAAGATAAATCCACCAGTATAGCAGTTTTTGAAATCAAAATAACTTCTGGATATTGTATTGGTAAGTACTCTCCACTTAACCCTCATATTCTCTGCATAGAAAGGAATACCTTATTGGCAGCTTTAAAACTTTTTATGAAAGATCTGGGTTTAAAAAAAAGACAGTGGCCTTTTCCTTGTTGAAAAGTACACAGCCATATTCTGTACAGATAACTTTTAAGCTAAGAGTGCACAAATTAGTAAGTGGGGTTTTTTCGCCTATTTCTGTGATATATATACATACAAATTACAACAATATAATTCCAAATCTATTTCTTGTTCAAGCAGAAACAACTGTTATATTTTAAAAAAACTTTGCACTGCTTCAAATACTAGATGTAACAGCTGCAAGATTATTTCTGCTCTCTGCTTGCTCATGGCTTCCTTACAGTGTCATCTTGAAGCTGCAGACTAAAAGCTCTGCTGATATTTATATTTATATTTATATTTATATTTATATTTATATTTATATTTATATTTATATTTATTTATATTTTTTATATTTATATTTATATTTATATTTATATTTATATTTATATTTATATTTATATTTATATTTATACTTACAGCCATTGTCTCATTACATTTGCTAAAAACTGCTTATGGAGTTCAAAAATTCCAGTGTCTAGGAGGCTGGGAGATCTTCACATTTCTGGAGAGCTCTGGTGGACTCCAACCAAGTTGTCAAAATTCTTTGGCTCTGTGAAGGAGACAAAGCAGTTGCATTACTGTTAGGAAATACTTACCCTGCTTTGCTTCTTGCCTTCCCTGATTTACAAGTAAAAGTTCTGCTTTCACTATTTACTGTAAGGAGGTGGTATATTTAAATCTGCTTTATTTAGTTCAAAATTACAGCAGTCCTATCCTGGAAAATGATGAAAAAACAGACTGGTCCAAAGAGGATGAAAATGAAAATTTTATCAAAAATTTATCAAAAATTTTGGATAGGTTTGCTTTTATTTATTATAAGCTCTTAAATGCTGTTCCCAGTTTTATAATTACAGGCGTTATCTGCTGTGCCATATGTGAAGTGCAGCTAGTGCTTAGTAATTTGCTCTTCCCATTTCTGTAATGAAAATGTGTGCATTCAGCTGGTGTTGTCTGCAATTGCAGAATGTGACTTTGAAGAAAATCATCTTTGTGGCTATGTGAACCGCTGGAATCCTAACGTCAACTGGTTTGTTGGTGGAGGGAACATTCAGAATTCTCAGTCTATCCTGCCCAAAGACCACACACTTAACAGTGCACTGGGTAAGCAACAAATGTAGAGCAGAAATATGGTGGAAAAATCTGTGATTCATGTATGTATGACTCTCAAACTGCGAGTTATTATTATGTGAGTTCTTTCCATTGTGGGGTTGGGGTGGGGATGGTAAGAATGATTTATGGGAAAAAAATTTAGCAGAAGTGCCTGTAAGCTTTATAATAAGGTTGTTGCACTCTTTGCTAGGATTCAAAAGTACTTGAGAGGTAAGGGCAAAATTTTCAATGTGAGAGCAGGAAAATTCAACTTTCTGTGTATTCTAAATGTATGGGCCACAGGAAATTTTAGATTCTTGTACTGCTGCTCTGTACATCTGGCAGGGGTTTTATTTCCAGTGGCTATTGAGAAAATTGAGTAGGAAAACTAAGGTATCAAAACATGCTTGGAGAATCTTGGGTTAAACTGTACAATTTAGAAGTTTTGTTTCTTTCAGTCAAATGTAAGTGTGTGCTGTTTGTACATCCCCTCAGAAGCATAAGGCTGGGAAGAATTACTGCAATTTCTGCACATGCCTTGTATGAAATGCTTGTCCTGTACACCTTGGTCAGGGAAGTGTTTTTCACACAGCTGTGAAATGGGTTGTGGGATAATTTCAGCTTTGCACAAAGCACCACAGCAGGTGATGGCCAGGACATCCAGCTGCTGCTGCACACTGTGTGTTTTGGATGGCATGGTGCTTGTGGCAGTGCAAGGAATCACATCTCCTGAACAGCAGAGCTGGTCCTCTTTCCTTAACTCATGCCGCTGTGCCATTCTATTTCTTTCACAATTGTGTGAGTTGAGTACAGAGTGTCACTCCATCCCTGCATCACCCCCTGGCAATGAAATGCTGGTAAAATTTTGATGGAAGTTTAAACTCATCACAACTTCAATAGCAGATGGTGGATGAGCCTATTAAACAAATGCTGTGACAGGAAATGCTCCCAGCTGGGAGGGATGTGTTTTCTTGTAGCCACGGCATTTCTATTTCACACCAAGCCATCACTGCTGACCACTTACTGAGGACACCTTGAGAAGCCTAAAGTCACAGAAGAGCTTTCTTTTTGCAAGAATTGGGCTGTGAAGGCGCATCATCCAGGGAGATTGTAGCTAAGCTATGAGATGTGCTAAAACTGCAGAACAAAAGTGAAGCTGAGAACTTTGCAGGCAGGTATTGCTGAAGTCACCAGTCCCTGGCAGTGGGAAATCTGGAGGAGACCCACAGTCAAGCAAGTCCTTTCCCCTCCTTTCAGCAGAGTGAAGTGAGAAGTGACATCTAAAGGTCTGAGACTGCTGTGTGCTAATTAATGCTGTGGTGCCCACGCAAACCGAATGGCACAGTTTGCAGTGGTCATGCTGAGGTACCCCACCAGTCTGGCACTTCAGTCATCTCCAGGCTTTCTACTTCTGAAGAGCCATTTTTTTGTTCATCAAATACTGCTTGATGCTGTGTTTCTGGGAGTGCAGAAGAAGAAAAACTACAATGCACAGCATGTTTGTGAACGTGGATGTGTCCTGTTTAAATTGGGGTAGCACTCCCAAAATCAAAGTATTAGAAACTGTACCCTTAGGAAAATCCTGCAGGTCATTTTGGTTCATATTCATGAAGGGAAGGTACTCTTCTCATATGTAATGCATTTTTCTGTTCATTAACATCTCTCAAAAATCTTCTTTTAGGGTTTTACATAAAAGCTCCAGTCCATGCAGTAAAAATAAGACATTTATAAACCAAATCCTAGGTACACTGAGCAGATATGTAAGGTCTAAAAGCTATTTGACAATAATTTGATATATTAAGTTAACTTCTATGTAAAAGATGAGAAAACACATGGCTTATAATCTTAGTCATTTACTTGGATTGCTTCAGTAAAAGTTGCACTTGAGAGAGACGAAATACTCTACTGAGCTGTTGGGAGGCAGGGAGTTTACACAGTTGTTGCACATTTTTCCATTTATGAATGGCTCCCAAAGCTTAGAGTTTGTTAAGTTTCAAATATAGATAAAGATACTGTTTTTAATAATAATAAAGACTTAAGAAATGAAAGACCCAAGACTGACTGTTTTGCCAGTGGTATCTTAGCCAAAGAATTTTGGGTTGAACATAGAAGGAAAAGAGAGAAAAAAACCCTACCTTTTATAATTAAAATTTTCTATGAAGCAACCGTTGTTGGCCAGGTCATAGATAAATACATCTAGTCCCTATTCATCTGCTGATACTTCTTGTGCATGTTGTTCTTCAATGAGTGTCCTTATACCAAGTTTTTTTCCTGCTTCTAGGTCACTATATGTATGTGGACTCTGTTTATGTCAAACATTTTCAGGAAGTGGCCCAGCTAATCTCACCAAAGACCATGGCCCCAATATCTGGCTGCTTATCTTTTTATTATCAGCTTAAGCAGGAAAGCAGCATTGTTTTTACTGTTTACCTCAGAGACATGAGTGGCTTTTATGAAGAGATCTGGAAAACAGACAGTGCACTAAATGCAGGCTGGGCACTGGCAGAAGTTGACTTCAACGCGCCGTATCCCATGGAGGTAAAGCAAGCCTTCCTGCACAGTCCAGCTGTGAATTCCAGCTTGCCTCAGACATGAGTGCCAACTCAGGCTATGCCAGGAATGTGGCAGGGACCATCCAGTGTCTGAAAGATGGCTGTAAAGATGGTGATGATCTCTGATTTCCTTCCTTCTTTGCATAAAGGTCAAGGAGGGATCACTTTCCACACTCATACTTGATTTTGAAGCCAGGTGGTGTAGTGCTTGATCAGGGAGGTTGTAGAGTCTGACTGATGGGAGGTTTTTTAGTTGCTGAATAATATCAAGGTTCTCTCAGTTCCCTATATCTGTGACTCTATGATCCATTTTTGAGGATGCTGAGTATCATAAAACAGTGCATAAGAAAAATACTGCAGGAAAAAAAAAAAAATAAAAAATATTTGAGGTCTATTCTCCGCCTTAGATCCTGCAGTTCACGAAGGAAAGTCCAGACTTGGGTCCTAAGAGTACAGTCATCCTTAAATGTGAAAGACAGCTCTTGATGGTTATTATAATGACTTTCAAGAGTATCAGAAAAAAACTTAATATTTTATTCCCTAGTGTTTTCTAAAAAATACCCCAAACTTAGGAGACTGAAATAAACAGTGTATGTGTATCATATACATACATATATACTTACTTGTATATTTTATACATACATATGTGATTTTTTACATATACTCTATATACTTTTAATACATGGATTACAAATAAATCCTACTTGCTTCAATTCTACATAAGTTATTTTTAAATTCACCTTAAACCTGTAGATTCCCAGAAATTATTAGGGGTAAAGCTAATTTTCATGAGATGTTATATAGCTCTTTTACTCTATAAAGTCATTGATCATCCATTTAAATCATCAGACTTGAGAGGAAAGGAAGGCAGCTCTCATAAGGCTTCATAATACAGAATGGTAAGTAAATTACTGATTCAGTAAATACAGACTAAAAGGGGAAAATCAGTCTTAGCACTATCGATGGAAATTAATTAATGATCACTTGCAGCTTGGCAATATTATTGTTGAGTTTGTGAAAATATCCTCTGATTTCCTGGTTGCATTCAAAAATCCATCCAGAATGTTGGAAACTATCCATACGGGAATAAATAGCGAAACACAGGATGTTATAGCACTGGGTGAATGCACAGGGAAACCTTGTGTTCAGCAGGATATGCAACTTCAGCTCTCTCAGTTAAAAAAAGATTTAAAAAAGATTGAATAATATTGTCCAGGAAGGAGATGGAGATAATTAAAAGTATGGAGAAGTTACATTAATGAAGTAAAAATTTCCGCCCTTATAAAAAAAGATGAAAGTAGAATGTGGTAGAGGCTCTTAAGAGTCATGAAGGACACAGAAAAGATTAACTGTTCCCTATTTCTCAGAATTTACATTGCTATTCCAAGTTCTCATTTACCATGTAACAGTTTTAAAATAAAATGAACAGAGGGTCTATTCATACATGAAACAACTGTAGAACTCACTTCCACAACGTACCTTGGATAGCCATTATTCAAATCAGTTTAAAAACTGATGAGATAAATTAATGGGAAAGAAAGAGTCCATCAGGAATATAACATAAGGGAAGAAGCTCTGAAAGCCTGTCATTGTCTTCAGTTCTTTATGTAGGTGCGTGCTGCTGGAAAAAAGACGCTGGACTAAACTGGCCTTCAGTCTGCTCAAGGAATTTTTATATAATCTAACACAGTAATTATCTCAGAGATAATTTTATCGAAATAATATTAAACCTTAACACATAAGTTCTTCAGTTGCTTCAGGAGGGTCTTCCTCCTTGTTTCATCAGGGTAAAGGAGATTGATCAGGATTCTTTCACTAGCTCTCCTAGTTTGCCTTACATCTTCATCAAAATATCACAGGCATTGCTTTCAGTGAAAAGAGTCTCACTCTGAAAGCATTTGTCCTTATTTCCTTGCTTTGTCCTGGGGTTGGCTCTCAAAGTTTTCCTGTATCTCAGAGCTTTGATACTTAAAAGAAATTTTAAGACACTTCCTCAAGAGTTATAGATGGTCCTCACTTACTTGAGGAAATTAAGCCCCCTGGGAATGACTAAATACAAGCATTGTTTGATCTTTGTGGTAAACAAATCACAGCTTTTATGGTTCTTAAATAAATTCTGTACAGGAAATCTTCCCTGACAGCTAATGCCAAGTTTCATGGGTCTGAGGATGTTTACAGAAAACTGTAACATTTAACATTTTAATAGCAGAGTAATGAATGCAGGGGGTTTTTAGCTCTTTATCCAGAGAGATTCAAGATAAAACTGGAGCTCTAGTCAGTACAGACTGATGATTGTGAACAGTGGTTTTGTATGATACGATGGCAGAAGCCTTAATACATCTTTAAAAGTGATGCTTCTTAAAGCAGAAGAAGAGCTATGTTCCCTTTGGTGTTTCCTTGACCTTGAGTGAGCAACAATCTAGTGCCAAGGTCAGGCTCTGATTTATATCCCTAATAAGTGATTTAATTTAATTGGTCCTAACACTTGCAACCCTGTATGAGATGTGCTGGAATCTGTCTGGGACATCCAGTCAGAATTCCGTATGTCAAAAATGTGTACCAAAATTATTGCTGAGTATTTTGGAGACGAATAACAACTTATTATAATTTCTAGGTAATATTTGAAGTTGCTTTCAACAGTGCCAAGGGAGGTTATGTTGCCCTTGATGACATTTCTTTCTCTCCGGTTTACTGCAGCAATCACACAGGTATGATGAGCTCTTACTGCTATTTACTTCCCTTGTTTTCCCCCTCTGCCTTGCCACTCAGAACTGCCAGTGAGTATTTGCAATTTTGGTGCTACCTTCTCAACTGACCAGCACCATTGGGCTCCTCCTTCTTCAGAAGACATAACAGCAGATAACACTAGTGCCATTCATTTTTTTTCTGAAACCAATCCTTAAAGCTTCTTTTCTGAAGACCTTGCTGCAGGGTCCTGCAGCTGGAGTGTTGGACTGGATGCTGTATTTGCATCACTATGGGTTTTGAGAAATTACCACTTGCAAGCCTGTTGCAGAAAGAAAGGGTGGATTTTCCCAGGAGTGATGGTATGAGGAAGAAAATGCCTGGGCTTTTCATTAAATGCCAGCATAGGCATTCTTCACAGCCACATGCCCTGAGGTGTTTTTCAGAGCCAAAACATGAGCCTTGCCTCTCTGTCTTCACTCTTTCAGGAGGTATTACTCATCTCAGGCAGTGGCATGTCTTTTGGGTATTTGTTAGGTTCTCACAACAACAGACACCACCTGAATCCCTGTGACCTCTGATGCAGAGGCACTTGGGACTAAGGACTTTGCCATTTGTGGCTGCAGCCTCTGAACTAGCTGGGGTTCTACTGTGGCACTAAACACTAGTCAAAAGTAGATCAGTGGTTTCCCACTTATGCCATCTCTTTCTTTGGACATAAATTTGAATTTTTTGGCTAATTCTTTGAAGTGATCAACGAAAAAGAGACTATTTTTTCCCCCTTTTGTCTCAGAGTATTGGCTAGCTTTGCCTCCACTGCTGAAGTATCACCACTGAAGGAGGTAGATTCCAGACACATTAATCATTAATAATACACATTTCTTGGCTGAGTAAATCCATTGTTTCATCATATCCTCAATGCTTTTTCGGTATTTGCTTTGCTTTGCAACGAAAATCCTGAGTTATGTTTGCAATTTTCAAGGGGTTGGAGCTGCTTATATGTTTTTCCATTTTAATTTTTGGACAACTTATATCTGTTGAGAAATGGTATAAATCTTATAGCATTTTCTGTCCCAATGATTGAAGTTCAGATCTAATCTGAATGGTTCAGAATCTGTCCTGAATATGACAGGTTTATCTAGAGTTCTGCCTAACTTTGATTTTGAAGGTTGGTTTTGTGGTTATTCTAGGATTTTTTTGTTTGAGAAATGAAAGTAAATTATTTGCTTTATACTTTGTTGAAATACAGAATATACTGTTTGATCCCTCAGACTTATCAATTATTTTCATTTTCAATTCTTCTGTGTAGAGAAGTTAAAAAGCAAGAGCTCTCCATTCTCCTTGTATTCGGCCATGGCGGTATATATAACAGCACTAAGGGGTTTTTTACCTTTTTTTTTTTCGGGAAGTTTTGTTCAACAAAAGTCTTGATGTTAGCCCAATGGAGGAAAAGGTACCAGAGTACTAAACTTGCTCAGCAAAGGATGAATCAGAACATGGGTTTAATGCCACATGGTAGTGCTCCACCTGCCTTTTGTTTAACTAGGAAAGCAGAGGTGGGAGACTATGGCTGCAGGAAGAATAAGACACATAGGCAGGGCTTAGATTTGGCCTATCTGAGGCTGAAAAGACTTCAGGCATCATTCCAAAGCCAAATTTTTTCTTCTGCTGAAGCTGATTGCCTGTGTACCTGTCCCTGCTGAACCGTTCTCTTAGCTTCCATGCAGCAGGGTCATGTGTGCTGCTGTAGAGAGATGTACACCATGTCCTGTGTCTGGGCTCCTGGCAAAGCCAAAATTCGCATGATAGCTTTGGGTTGTGCCCCTCCTTCCCCAAGCACCTTCTGTGAGAGACTGGCGAGGCCTTTGAAGAAGTAGAGATGTTTTACTTACTAGCACGCCCCACAGAGCAGGGTCACTTCTTTCCAGACTAAAGTAAGTCCTGACCCATGAATCCTATACTGCAGGTGGACAGAGAGCCATCAGCAGGGCCGGGGGGATCTCAGCTCTGCTTTTAATCAGCTTTACTATAAAATGGCTCAGCTTTCTTCACTGCAGTGTTAACACTGTGTGAGGCAAGAGCTCCAGAGGAAAGTAGCCATGAGGTGGTACATGAACTAAAAACTATTTCGCTTACCTACTTACAGCATGCATATACGCACATATTACACATAACTATAAAGAGGATTTTTAAGAAGTGCTCTTTAAAAAAAATACTAAATGTTGATTTACAGTGCACATACAGGCACACAGGCACACTCATTTTGCCCCAATAGTCTTTTGAATGAAGGAGCAGATGAAAACAAACAGTCTGAGTGTCTTTGTGAATTATGTCCTGAAGGAATAATCTGGTCTTAATATTTGTACCTAATTTGTATTTTAGGGAGGCTGTGAAGGAGGTTTTCTCCTTGCTCCAGCAAAAAATACAAGGATGTAAGACCAACTTGAAATAGGAATTTGATAGTTTGAGTTAATCATGTCTGTGCACTATATATGTGTATACATCTTTGCACGGGGTTATCTTCTGTAAAGAAAAGCAAGATGAACCAAAGTATGCTTTAACATCCTTCTGCATCAAATACCTGTGGCTATCACACTGTACTCATCCTAATAGAACATATGCATCTTTCTTTTAGGAACTCCTTTCAATCCTGCCAATGCAGGCTGCAATTTTGAGGAAGATCTGTGTAATTTTTACCAAGATCACAAAGACGGTCCAGGGTGGAGCAGAGTGAAAGTGAAGCGCAATGTGTACAGAGCTGGAGATCACACTACTGGATTTGGTGAATTAAAACTGCTTTTTCCTGGAAGAGTCAAACTATATATAAATGTTACATAAAAGGTTATATAAAGGTTAACCTGTTGTATCATTGTTCACTCTGTTCAGTATGGACTGGCACAATGGTTAGCTTGCCTCAGTCAATTAAAACTCTCAGCCATTAAAAATCAGTGTTCACAGCTTGGTCCTGTCTGGAACTCTGGCTGTTCTTCCCCATATGTAGAGGAAGAAGGTCACCTATTGGTCACCTGTATGGTCAGGCAGGGCCATAAATCAGAGTATCAATCTTCACTATACTGCTCCGTAGTTGCTGGAGGGATGAATCCACAAAGTTATGGAAGTAAATGTAATAATAGTTTAGAGCATTGTTTCAAGAGAGGAAAAGTGACCTTTTAGCTCTTCTAGGCTTAGGATAGTTGGGACTTTTGAGGGAAAACATAAATACTGTGTAGTGAAACCACATGGTGAAAGGACTGTTAATATTTTATTCGGACATCTCTTTGTGTAAAGTATTCATGGTTATTAATCATATGCACTGAAGTCTCAGCTCTTTATACTTGGTGCAGGTGATAATAGGCCTTGTGCCCCACCCTCCATTTTTGTGTCTCACAGTGGAATCCCTGAAAAGACCAGTTTTCCAGTGAGGCCAGCAGACCAGAATTTTGGAAAAAAATGGTTATTTCCTGTCAGAGTGTGATAATCTATTCCTTGCCAGTTGGAACTGTTTTTATAACCCAAGTCTGATGCAATAACAGAAGCTGCTTTAATAGTAAATCAGCTGTGCTAATAGCGTATTAAATACAATGATTATGCTGTCTTGCAGGTTATTATTTGTTGGCAAACACAAAGTTTACATCACAGCCTGGGTACATTGGACGTCTGTATGGCCCGACCCTGCCAGGAAACTTGCAGTTTTGTCTGCGTTTTTATTATGCCTTATATGGGTTTTTCAAGATGAGTGGCACTCTTGCAGTTTATATCTTTGAGGAGAATCATGTTGTTCAAGAGAAAATCTGGTCTGTCTTGGACTCTCCAAAAGGAGTTTGGACTCAAGCTGAAATCTCCTTCAAAAAGCCTATGCCTTGCAAGGTAAGAGCCAACTCTTCAAATCTGCTGAATTCTGAGAGGAGATTTTCCTGGCCTTCTCAGAATTGTTTGTTACACAGGGATTAATCCTAAGTGAGCTATACCTGCAAAGTGGATTAGCTGAAGATTCACCAAAGGAGCTCTAACAAAAACATCCACATATGTAGAAACATCCTCTCGTTTTTGTTTGCTTGTTTCCTATGTGAATCATATCATTGTCATATTCAGTTACAGATTTTAATTAACCTAAAAAGTACTGTTAAGTTCTGGTCAAAATAGGGAGCTGATCATACTTCCCTAAACTCAACTGCTGGGTTTCAATATGACCAGAAGTCATATTGCAAATGAGAGCAATGGACTTGAAGAATTTGCAGTGTCTTTGCCTGCAAGATAATAACACATTGGTACTTGACATCACCTTCTTAAGTCCTTAAGCCATTATAATTCCTCACCTCTGCTCTTTTTGCAAAGACTGACTTACACAGATTTCTGTAAGTGCTGCCACTGTAGTGATCCTGATTTCTGTAACAGGTTTTCAGTATCGGTGAGTCATCTAAGGAGAACCAGGTGGATCATTAATGTTGACCAGAGTGTGATAACATGATGAACATTTGGATGGAAGCTTGTCCTGAAACTCTTAAGTATTTATAAATTAAAGACAAAGATCTTAAATGTTTTGTCCACTACAAATTAGTTTTTGAAATAACAGTAGCTACTGATCATAAACGATGACCAAAAACCAGCTTCCTGTCTTGAGAGGCAAACTGATGTTTAAAATTTCAGTCCTAGTTGTTGGGTACTGTTTTCTGTCAGATACCTGAAATCTTAAAGTGTCAATGGGGTTCTTTATGTAGTTTATCCATAAAACATAATGGAATTTATAATTCCAAGTGTTAGAGAATAGAAAAAGAATTTTATTAGTGCCCAGCAAGTGCATACTAGAAAGATTTCTCATAGTATCATCCCAAGATATTTGCAGAAAAGTGAAAATGGCAAACTTATAATTTACTTTCGTCATCTCCTGATTAGGTATTTCTTTATTACTTCTGGAAAGGTGTTGTAGATTATGTGGCATAATCAGCTGCATGAGTACTGATGATACCTGACCATGACTGTTAAAACTAGTTGGCAGCCTTGGAGGTGACAGGTTTTTTAGCATCAGATATTTACATGGAAAACCTTTTCCACCATGAATTTGTGAAGAACAATTTTTGTTTTCCTAGAAGTCAGGATATGTGGAACAGTTGTGAAGAAGCTTGCCTCACTTCTTCTGAGCCTGAAGATGTGTAGGAAGGGGAGAAACACCATGCTTTGTAGCGTGATTTACTGGCCTCTAGCAATTCTCAAAAACCTTCTCTGGGTGCTTCAGGTCTTGTGAAAGTCTTCCTTCCTATGGAAACAAGTTGCAGAATGTTTCTGTTGAGGAGACATTCCCCAAATATCATAAAATGTGAGATTTATTTGGCTTTACAGAAGTAAGCATGTGTTCAGCAAAGCATAATTGTCTTGGTTTGAAAGACAGCTTCCTGCTAAAGAAGGCAGGAGCCTCCCTTGGAATGGAAAACGTAAATGGAAAATGTAACCCACTTCCCTCCAAATTATTATAATTTTGAAATTAAGGGACTCTCAGGCAAAGATGTGAGACTAGGAATAGCAGTTCTTTACTGGTGTGTGTAACAAAGCAAACAAACAGCAGCAGCTCCAGCATTAGCCCCAAACAGAACAGGCCCCAGTGCCCGCCTGGCGCTCTCCCCTCGGTGCAGCTCGGCACCCGACTGGATGGGGATAGCCCCCTCTTTTAGGGAGGTAGGTATTGACTCGGTCCCAGTGCAGTCTCTCACGAGCAGAGGCTCACCCCATGGCAGAAGAAGCAGCTTTGGGCTGTGCTCCAGCGGCAACAGTGAATTCCCTTTTCCTTGCAGAAACTCTGATCCTCCTCCTCCTCCGACAGAAAGCGAGAGAGAGAGCTCTAAGAGAAATGCCCTCCTCCCCGGAGCTTGGCCACTTACTTTGTTTTTCTTACCAGTACCCAGTAGTTATTCTTTTGTAGCAATTTATGGGAAAAAGTTCTATTAAGTAAAAAGGAATAAAAAGAAAGAAACCTAACCCCCAACAGTAATTCAGGCACCCCTTAGCTAAATAACTATACATTGGGCAGGTAGTTCAGTTTATAAGGTTTTCCTTAGACAAACAAGAAAATGGATGAAGTTCTGAAATATATTAATATGGAAAAGTACATCAAAGTGTGTTTACTGATGGGAAGGTAGAATAAAAAAGACAAATATTGTTGAAGTTTAAGCATGTCTGCTTAAGGCAGAGGGTGAAAAAACCTGGTGTAGTTACTGGCTGTCTGCTCATAATATTCAAAAGTAGGCTTGAATGAAGTTGACACTGAACTTGATTCTGGGTTTTCCTTGCAATCTCATGCCGAGCTCTTCCATCTTATTACTTTTATAAGTCTTTTTGTGCTTTATTTTGTTTGTTCCTTCTTTTCCAAGCCAGTAGAAGGAAACAAATTATTACTGTGTAGCACTCTGTATAGACTCAGGTTAGTTTACTTGTGAAGATGCATCTGCCTAGTGAAATAGCTGACAAAAAACACTCATTCCAATGTAGGGCAGCTGTGGAGGTACACCAGAGAATGTTTTAGCTAATAGAAAGGAGTGGTGGGAGCCACCAAGAAAGGGATTACACTTCAGGCTCTGAAGGAGACAGTGCTGAGAAACATGACAGAAGCTTGACCTCTCTTGTCCTGTCTCAGGCAACCTGTCATGAGCTCTTGAATCCTCACTAAGGCATCTTTGTCTAACCTGTCCCATAGCCAATGAATTACTCCTCTGCCCCCCTCTGCAATCCTCATTTTACTCTCAGCTCTGGACAATCCAATGTCTTTTCCCCTGCAATATTATTCACGTTCCATTATGTTTTCCCCACTTGTCCCATTTCTTACAAATTTTAACTTCTCAAAAACTAATGACTTGACAGAAGAGATAGCACTGGCATAAAGATCAGACTCTTGACACTTTTCTGCTCCTACTCCAAAGCCTAGGAGTGCTCAAGCTTTTCACAGAATTTTTTTTATATAATAGGGGCAAAATAAACCCTTTTTCCTAGCCTTGTTCTCGGAAATGATGGAACTGTTTTGGATTAAATCTTCCAAAACAAGGCAGTAGCAAGGACCTAGCATGGAAAATCTGAGCTGAAATCATTGTGTCTTGGCAATATTATAGGCAAGTGAGAAACAGTCTTTTAGTGGAGAGAGGTGGTCTCAGAATGAGCTAGGGCTGCCCTCTTTCCTCTAATACAGAAATAGTGACTAATGTGCCTATTTTATTCTTTTCTGAGATGTATCATATGTAGACTTGGATGGTAAGAAGTTGGAGGTATACACAGTAGTTTGGCTGAGCAGCTTCTTGGTTGCCAGCAGCGACTTTTGGATTGGGTCAGACCCTGTGAAAACAGTAAACAGTCTCTTGGCACTTCCTTAACACCTAGTCAAGTCAGTGACAATCATCTGTCCTGAAGGTCAAAATTATTTTTCAGCCAGAAAACAATGCTCTAAAATAATTGATTACCCACATCCTTCATCTTTTTCTACTAGGAATACTACTCCCAAAGCTTTGAAAATTATATAAAATCCATCTAATACATTTTAGTTTTGATGGTATTTACTTACTTCAGGGCAATAAAAAAGATGCAGATTTTCATTGCTTAATTTCTGTAATGGTTTTTGAAAGTTCTTTTTGAATTAGCTAACTGCAGTCTGGCACAAGTTGATGGCTTGAGTTCTGTGAGCAGGAAATGTGAAGCTAGCCAGCTGGCTTTAATATGACACTTTGAAAATAAAACGTTTTAAAGGCTAGGCAGGTATGATCCAGCTAAGCAAGTCATAAATGTCTATACCTACACATATGCTGTTAATGCTAGTGAGAAGGCAGGGAATTTAAAATCCTGATTTCCTGATTTGTACTTGCAGCACTGTCTCTCCTATTCGGTGTGAGTACCTATGATCCTATATACATACAGTGTATATTTAATTATACTGTACCTAGGGAATAAATGTGACAAGAAAGAAATGGAAAAAAAAAAATCTAATGGTATTTGAAATTACTTAAATCCTGTATGGTTTATTGTATAAACATCTGGAAGGGCAACATGAAAACCTAAATCTGAAGTGTGTAGATTACTTTCAGTTGATTGAATGTACTGAAATTGATCTTCCATGCCAGTACATGTCAGGAAAATGTAAGAGCAAACTGAAAGAAAATTCCACATATCATTTGCATCCTTGAGAAATGCCCATGAACTGTGAAGCAAGAATCTACATTTTAATATTGTGTGTGTGCATGTGTATGTGGGTAAACACCAGCATGGAAAAATATTTATTTTATGCAACTTCACAAAGAAGTCCAAATACCTAAACTAAAATGAAGGTTTAAGTTCAGTTGGGTCTGCCTTTATCAGTTCTGCTCATTCCTGCTAGATTTGGGTTACCATTCTGAAGTTCAAGTTTTTGAAAGCAAACATCTTGTGTTCTTTATCCGTCATGAAAGCTTTTGCAATGTTACCTGATAGTTTAGTGCTTGAACCTCCCAAAGTGTTCAAAATCAAATCCTCATTAAGGTAATTTGTGTAACAGTCTATCCTACTTTCATCACAGTAGCTGTGGCTGCATTTTTGGGTTTTCATTTCTTAAGTTTTCTTTTATTCCTCTTTGATGTTTTTGACTCACTCTCTTGAGTTCATCTGTTTGCTTTCATTCATCCTCCATAACTAATTTTAGTTGCAATTGTGAGAAAGGAAAATCAAGTGACTCAGTGTTGCACTTGAATATTTACATGTTTTAAAACAATGAAAAGAGAAGACTTTTTTGCTGAACAACATGGAGAAGCTTTGCTGCAAGATGCTATGGAGGCCAAAAGTATATGTACATTTTAAAAAATATTTACAATATTAATGGAAAATAGACCTCACAGTGATTGTAAACACAGTGGTACAGTTGT